TACAAAACCAAAGGAAACCAGGTTCCAAAGTTCTAATTTTTTGTGGCAGCAAGACACTTCTCTTCATTCACCAGAAATGATGGAGAATTCCCTGGATTTTGTCTTCCCCTAGCAGATTGAGCAAATTCTGGGTGTTAAATATTATTGCCTTTTGAGTTCACCAACAACAAGAAAGAAGTGAAAACAAAACTATTGTAGAAGGGAGAAAGACAAAAAAAAATATACTCCTAGCTACTTCACTATTACTTATAATCTCAATTTTCATCTCTTTCAATGTCAAACATCACAGGTGATAGTAGGAGTTTTTCTTCTGGAAATACTGGAGAAGAAGAAGTGCAACAACAACATCAAAAGCTACAAAATCACTTCCATGGACTTACTAAGACTATTAATAGCAATGGTTCTACTTCAGAACCACCACTTCCACCACTTAAGAAGAAAAGAAATCTACCAGGAACTCCAGGCAAATTTTACTACTCTTGTGTTTAAACACATTTTTTTAAAGTCTAGCTTTCTTGGGTTTTATATATGTTGCTTTGAAGTTTAAAACATCCTTCCCACTCTAGCTAGCTCTTCCATCTAGCCTCTGATCCAATCTTTTCTTTGTTCACTTCTACAAGTTTGTTTGCCTTGTGGATTGAGGATTTGTGGTCCAAAGTTATGGTTCAATAACGACATGAGGATGATGACCATAGTTTGAGCTCATTGAAGTGAACCATATATGAGGCAGGATTTAGTGATTTCTATCAAATTTATAGAATTTTAAAAAGTTTAAATTGAGAATTATTTTGTTCGTTGTTCTTGTTTCTGTTGAAGGCCGGATTCAATTATTGCTAGGAATTTTCAATTATTGGTTATAACTGTTGGCTTGACTAGCTTGCTCTTACTCCTACCTTTTTTGTTTCAACACTCAATTGAGTAAAAAATTTACAAATAGTGGATTAATTAGTAAGTAATTTCATTAATCATATTGCTAATGTACCACCAAGAATCTAAAAGTTGACGTTATTGATTACTTTAGATAGATTTGATGAGAGATAAGACAAGTTGGGATCATGAATATAATCATGATCATGATTAAACTATAATTACATTTACATTTCATAATGTTTTTTTTTT